ACTACGTAGTATCCAGAGATATAAAAGGTTTTACGAAATCGAGTACTTGATTTGATATTTGTATGCCAAAATTATACTACGTAGTATCCAGAGATATAAAAGGTTTTACGAAATCGAGTACTTGATTTGATATTTGTATGCCAAAATTATACTACGTAGTATCCAGAGATATAAAAGGTTTTACGAAATCGAGTACTACAGTATTAATACGTAGTATCCGGACACAGTTTCAGAATCTTTACACAGCAATGCCATCGGCCACCAGCAACCAGCGCTGCGACATTTGATTGGCTTATATATGCTACTTCTAGTATCACATTAGCCAATCAGAGACAAGTAATTTTGGAGTGACACAACTGTCGTTTCGATTCAGAGAACAAGCGATGAAGTCGCTGGTGTACATGGTGATCCCAGATGGGAGCATCTTCGGTGTGAAAGTCAAGGACGACCAGCAAGTATACCAGCTGGAGAAGATGATCCAAGACGACAACCCCTATTCGATTGGTGTGACGGCTATTAAACTATACCTCGCGAAGAAGGACGGCGAGTGGCTGACGACGGACGACGACGAGGTCAAGGTTATGAGGGCCGGACAGGTTCACCAAACCATCAAGGATATGACGCGGCAAGGGAATGCAATGGACCGAGCCCGTCCTGTTGGCGACGCTGCATTCAGCTTCCCAAGCTACGTTACCACTGGCACGATCCACGTGCTAGTGGACGTTCCAATGCTACCCGGGACTCCCGGTAAATATGTTGTGAACGGGCTTCACTATCCGGTAATGGAAAGAATGAGCTTGTATCCCCCAGCACTGGTGGCGTTTTGGAAGGCCTTGGGGGCCGTTGTCGAAGCCAATGCCGTTGTCACCTTGCCCAAAGAAATATATCATACCACCAGCTTCCCACAACAGAATCATTAACGGTTATAATAGGCTGCCTGCGCCACGTCCCGCGACATGGGTGATTCCACGAAAACTTCTCTGGGGCTTACTTACAGTGCTTGGCGGAAAAACGCAGACATGAACTTGAATTGCCACATTTCACAATTGTCGGATCAGCGCGCTACAATTCCGGGAATGGAAGGCCCGCGAGAAATTCGAATCTATCCGGATAATAGTTACGGAAACGGGTGTGTTGGGTGCCTTCATTCCAGGTCTCATAAAAATTATGCTTATGCATAAACTACATAAACTAAGCTAATTTATGCATACTACCAGCCTTGGATTATACAATTGGCAATAACACTTCAATTATCATATAATATGGTTGCGCTTTTATTTCATTAACAGTCCCCGACTTTACGATCTTTACTGCAAAATAACGCGCTCATTGGCATCTTTGAAGCATCCCATTTGAGGAGCGAAAAGTCCTATTCGACTGATGGTCGCTAGTCCACCGCAGAACGCGCACAGACGCAGCCATTGACGAGGGGCGACGTCCCAGGGCGTCATCGAAAGTGGTGCTATTGTCGTGTTCTTCAAGAGAGCGGCGCAGGACGGGGTCGTTGTAGTAGGCGGCGACCAGCTGGCTATGATTTTCCTCGACCTGGTCGATGTCGACATCAGACCAGAAGCGAAGAATGCGCTCACGACGCGGGTCCAGCACATCACGAACGAAGTGGGCCGGCCGAAGTCCAACCAGATGACCAGGTAAAACTGGAGGTGCATCCTGCTCCCGCGGCAGGCTGCTGTGGTACCCTGCAGCTTGATCACCAGAGTCTCCGCTAGGCCACGATTTGCTTAAGGACGGCAGCTTTGTCGGCAACATCCAAACGCAGTAAGCAGTCCCGGGCCATTAAGCGCGTGAACGGCTTGAAGTACTTGACGTCGACGCGACTTTTGCGCTTCCGGGATCCTTCCTCCGTGATCTCCACCTTGTTGCGGCCCTCAAAAGTGCTGAAGTTGCATCGCACCATCGGGTTGCCGTCCTGGTCCCTCGAGACAATATCGAGACCGAACTCCAACAGTGCTTAGACTGGAATGGAGTGGTGCACGGCGGCATTGGGCTCGTTTGAGTCAGTAAGGAGTGCAAAAAAATGGCTTAGTTTATGCACGAAGTTGACCTTTCTT